AAATAAATGAAATAAAAAATGCTCTTCTCTTTTTATTGAAACATAATGACAACCCCCACACTTCAAAATACACTCTATATTGCTGATTCCTCTTTGCAGTTAGTGAATTGTCACAAGACCTAAAGGGAAAAATAACTTGCTCTCCCTGCACTGACCAGCACACCTAATCCTCTTTCCCAAGTCCACTGGTTATCAGCTGATCTCCCAAGACTTGGAAATGTTTTGCTATTTTATCCTTTGACCTGCTTTGATATCTGGGCTTGGGTGTAAGAAAACATTGCCTTAAAACTTTATTATCCATATTTTATTAATGCTCAATATTTCTTACAGAATGAGAGGATTGCAGCTCGCTGAATTATCAATAGTTATATCCGTTGCAAGCTGCTGGAGGAATTTATTCATAAATAACTTATCCATATCTACACAAACATAATGTATCAAGAGAAAACACAGGGATAGCATTAATGTATTAATATTACATTTTGTCTTGACATTCATGGTGATGTACGTCGTCTTGTGGAGGAATTAAAAGCCATAGATATTATTTCAGCATAATTCAGTTATTTATTTTTCATCTGCACTTGAAATCAAAAGAGAGAAGCTGAGCGATAAGTGGCTTGTGTGTTCAAAGGTTCCTATTCAACATGAGTTCTGAGGAAACGATGAGTCATAACAATACTTTTAAACTCATCCATTCACGCTTATGATTATTGAAATGTAAGAACTTTGTGGATGAACTGTGGAATCTATGCTTCATTTGGCAATAATTGTTCGTGCCTCATATTATACAGTTCACTGCAAATCTGATGTTGAATGCCCCCCACTCTAGAGGGAAAGGTTAACTCCTGATGAAAGGGCTGTGGTCATGAAAAGAACTGCCCTCATCTGGCACCCCCTGCTGTCATTCTCTTTCAACCAGCAGAAGGATACTGAGGATGGAAAAGTCGCATTTGTATGTCAGCAGGCGAAATGGCACTGGGTCCCTGTGTGAGGGTGGATATGTTTCATGCCAACATCTTGAAATATTTTTGAGAAAACCTGTTGAGCTGCAGATGGAAATCTATTTATGTTATTTGAAATGATGAAGTCTGTGTGAAATATGTGGTTCAAAGTATAAAGAACACACCGAACAACAACAACAAAAAGAGGAGTTTTAGTGATTTTGAACGATGATGAAATCGCCATTGATTTTCTGCCAAGTCCAGGCGTTATCTGCTGAAAGTGTGAGAGGAAGCCGAGAAAAACCTTCTGAATCTGGTCACATTTATTGACTTGCAGTGTTCCAGTTCTTTACACCGTCATGATCTATTTCCATGGTGACGTGTTACTATAGCTCATCCGTGCTGAAGTTGATCTCAGTGGTGGTTTTCTCTGACGGCCGTGTGCTCTGCCTCAATCTTCGCCCAGCCCAAATACCAGAGAAACAGATTCAAGCCACAACACGTTGCCCGTGCTTGACAGTGCACACATTACTACAGTCAGGTTTATTGAGTTAGCAGATGCAGGTTTGCATGAGGAGCTGTTAGTGTGACAAAGAAGAACAATGCTGCATTTAAAAACAAACTAGAGATGTTCCGAAGTTAGTTTTCACTTCACTTTAAAAAAATGTGGCTATTAACCCTGTATGGAAGGGATGATGCTATCATTGTTGTATGTCCTGGCTCAGCTTAAACCCTTTGAAAACAAATACACACAGAGAATAAATGTCATACAACTAGGAGTTCCACAGCCATAACTGATAAACAACACAAATCAGTGCAGTTGATTAAAATGAAATACCTTTTTTTTATATTCCCTTAGGTTTCTGCTTTTGTCCCTGATAAGTGTTTTTTATAACTTTTTCCTCACCCTTATCGAGGATCAAAGACAGAGGATGTTGCACCTTGTTCAGATTTTCAGCCCTATGGCAAACTGTGACTTGTAATATGGGCTTTGCAAATAAAACTTGATTTGTGTGAAGTGCCACCCCTTGAACCTGAATATGATACACATACTTTTGGGACTTTCCAGCGTGAAATATTGCCAACTTGCCGTTATTTTAGCGAGCTCTGGCTAACACTACGCCATCGGATCAGTGAATAGACTTGCGTTTTCAGCGATGCCCTATGCAGAATTTTTGGCAGTGTCACAGGCATTTCGATGCTGGTAACAGAATTGGAACACTGTGTTTTACAGCCTGTCTTCCTTTCTCTCCCTCCTCACTCTCTTTTGTCTTTCATAGATCAATAATACCCTCTGCAGCCACAATGTCCCGTCAGCAGTTTCTGTGACAAATTATAATTCTACTGATGTTTGAAATACAATAACACAGTTTGTTCATCATCTCTGTAAGACGCAGACCCTGAGTGCGTTTTGGAATCATTAAGATATCATCTTCCCCCTGCCACAGTCGGTCCTCGGAGGCTGGATAATTAGCCGTGCTCCACGATCGAGCAGCTAATTAATTTGTGCTGTGCTGCAGCTCCACTGATGGCTTGATCTTTGTACTGCAGACATGTGCTCGTTCAGCTCAGCTATGGAAGAATTACTATGAAAGGTCTGAGAGTGCTCTTGCTGAAACCTGACCCACTCAAACTATTAAATATAGAACTCAAATAAAACACACTGAGATGAAATTTACTGTATAAAGCTCATACTGTTAGAGAGGATGGCACTCATATTTGCATTTATATCCTGTATTTATCTGTACTGTATGTCAGAGACATCCAGGGTACTGCTTGAGTGCTGGGATGAAGCCCTATTTGTTTTCAAGTGGAGTCATTTACGCCTGTG